AAGCGGTTTTTATTGTAGTGGCACACATAATTGTACTGTCTACACCTTGGTAAGACAGGCAGAGTGATGTGTAGACTTTAACTTTTAGTTTTAAAGGCTGGACTACTTTTATTGCAGATGGTTGGGGCAGCTCCAGAGACAGGAGAGCTATCTTCACAAAACGTAACTGATTGTATGGACATGTTTCATTGTTTAATGGCATGTAGTTATACAATTTAATGCAAACATTTTACTTTTGTCTTTTTAATCTCTTTCTTTAGAGCTCTTGTTCCTTCCCTCAATCTATCTTACTCTCTCCTTCAGAGAATGTAAAAAAATTTTAGGAAATTTTTTGTCAAAGTGATACCTGAACAAATTGTAATCGCAGCACTATTCTGTGTTGCATTATTCATACAATATTATTATTGCTATAATTGTGGTGTTTTTGATGGTCATGTACAATATGGAACTCTATTGACATGTACACTTTTTCTCACTCATTTTTTGTTTATTTTACTTTGTTTCACTGTTTCTTTTTTATTTTAACCCTCTGAGTTGACCAGCTGACATTAGCATCTTTTTGCATCAGGTCTTTAGAACTTAATGTACATGTATCTTGTAATCAACTCTCTTCACTGACATGAACTATTTTTTATTTAATTGTTCATAATTATTGAGAAAAAAGAAAGCCAAGATCACAATAATAATTGATAACACAACACTGAATAATCAATGATTTACAGTAATGATTACATATATTTGTCTACACATTGTCTTATTTCCACATACTGCATTATACATTTGTACACCAATTTGTACTGGTCAAAGGATTGTATTAGGTTCGCTCGTTGCATTCTTGCAATTGTAATGCTTTTGGAAATGTCAATCGGAATCTCCAGTCCTCTTACTTTTAGAGTATTTAGTATAGAATCTATTAGTATGAGTGCTCCTGTCCGACCACATCCCATAGCACACTGCACGATCCATGGACCTCTGAGACTTGTTGCATTTATATCTTCAATAAACGTGAGTAGTACTCCAGGATCAGGTACGCCATGATCTGGCCATGCTTTGAAATGAAATTGAAAAATGTGACGAGACTCTCCAGCTGCTTTGTGTGTAATACCAAACTTCCTTACTACATATGCATTTTCTACCTCCTCCTTCAAGGAGGTCACTTTTACAGATCCCTAAGTTTCTTCTCTGGCTGGCCAATACTGTGAGCATTTCCGTCCTGGTTTTGTTAGTAGTAATATTATTTGACTTCCCTCTTGCCAAACCATTCGCCAAAAGTCATTTATGGTCGCCGGGAGACATCCTTGAGTTACTATGTACTTTGAAACAGAATGTGATACTTCTCCATGTACATAGCTTGCATTTATATAGTCTGATCCAGGTACCTGTAGATCATAGCCTTCTTTGAGGACAACGCGTGTGTGATCAAATGGAAGTATATTCTTGCTCCTGTTCTTGGGTCTATTTCCCACTTTTCTGCCTTCTTTATAGCTACCACTTCTAGTCTTTTGTTGTTGTATCTCCTCAAATTCTTTCCAGAAACCATCATATTCAAACTGGAGCTTTGCCACTCTTCTAGTGACAAATATGGGTAGAAAAGAGGTGCTATGTATCGGGTTGCCGAGCTGTATTACTCTCCCTTCATCATTGATGATTGGATCGGTGCGAAATTGCTCTATTAGTTGTGATAGACTGTTGAAGATGAGGTTGTTCCCCATTTGGAATGTGTTATTGTGATATTTTATGAGTACATTGAAGAACTTATCTGCTACTTTTATGGTGAGTACATAGTCTCCTGGATTACTGGTGCTGGCATGAAAAAGATAACTGCCATCAGCTTGACTTTCACATATGCTCTCAGCTTCTGCTTGTTCTATTTGACCATGAAAAAATCTCTCGTGGGTGACATCTTCGCTGTATAAAGACCAATGTAGTCTTGTGTTGAGTTTATCGGGATTGTCTCTATAATAATGTACCATTTCTGTTAGTGTGTAAAACCGTTTTCCTAGAAGTTCGTAGTAATGTTGGTGAGTTATTAGGAAGTGGCTTATACATGGCTCCTGGTCTTTGAACACTTTCACTGATAGAGCGAGATGACCCCCTGCACGACTTGATTTGCGTATTAGAAAAGTCCCTTTGGGTGCTTCACTCAAGAAAGATTCTGCTTCTATTCTGCTGACGTCAAAGAAGAAGCAGCACTTAGCCATCATTAGAATAATAAGAAATCTGGCCAGAAAAGAAAGAATTTCGATAAACGCTCAGATCAGTCAGGTTTGCGGCGGCTTACTTTGTATTCACTGACAGGGAATGAAGGTTTGTAGCTAAATGTTTGCTGGTCAGGCGACATAGGCGGCTGCAGGGGCAGGCATTGAGGGCAATGCCCTACTAGAATTTCTTACCGGAAGATGACATCATCATTATTAGCAGTTAATTAATAGTTATTTAGTAATTATTACATCATTATAGCTAATTTTAATGACAAAAACTACATTATTTTGCTCAACAAAGTGATTATTAGTAGAGAATAAGCTGCTAACTGCATGGTTTATTCACAGGAAGCCAGCCAACCACTTCATAGGTCCATACCTATGGCCACTCTTGCTATGGCCCCTTCAGGAAGACATAATCAAAAGTATAATAACCTGCAGCTAGATTAACTGACTCCTTCATATAGTAGCTTCATTATTAATCATCATAGTCAGTCAGCAAGGACTCATTCAACAGCTAAATCACCTGGCTACTGATACTCTATCATTAATAGAGGTCTTTAGATGCTAAATTTTCTCCTCTTGAATATAAAAATGGCAGGGTAACTCTTCATTGAGTAGTTCAGAGCCCTTTTCTACTGGATTTTTTCCCCAAAATGCTGAAATGGAAGTCATAACAGGCTTAAACTCAAGAGCAAGGCATATGGGTGTGGTCATATGCCACACCTACTTTTTGACCACTCCCACTTTTAGCCACACCTTTGCCCTACTTGCAGTAAAATCCTGCAGCCGCCTATGTCAGGCGAGCCTGACCTTTACTTTTCTCTCCCATTCACCTGTAAAAGAAAATCACTTGGATAATTATGATGTTCTGAAGCAGAGCTTGACTGATTTACCCTGCAGTAACTGTTTCCAGCCCAGTCAGTCTTCTCTATCTTCTCTAGAAGAATACCAATATTGGTAGAACAACTCCAGGCAGTGTAATGAGTCTATTCCCTCCTGGGCAGTCAATTCTTTCAGTATGTGCTGTCAGGCGATAATCGAGGCTACATTATTATAGCCATAAAACCGGAAGTGACTACAGCCGCGTCATAGACCACATGGTTGATTCGGAGCTTATTGAGGTAGCTCTCTTGAGCATTGGTCTGCTACATCTGTAACGCAACAAGTCTGTTTTTTACCAACAAAATTGTATAATTATTAACACACTGTCAAAACATCATTATTGGCTATGGGATTTATAACAATTTGTTTAAATTTGGTTATTATCACCTATGAACTCGGTTATAAATAAACATATAGAATAAGCAATTATAGTAAGAATAATTGTTGCCATGTACTATGTCATTAAAGAGTGAATTGCAATACTCTTGTCCATATTGATTAATAAAACAATTTGCCGAGTCACAATTGCTGATAAATTTATACCATATCTACATGGTAAGCAGCACTGAGCCATCTTCATGCATTAGTTTTATCTAATATACATAAAGTAACATACTATAGAGCAAAGTTTACTTGAATTCCCATGGGAGTCTTTAAAAAATTTCTTCTTTCCTTGAAGGTATAGACACTGAGATATTAGCCGTAGGTGTATACATGTTAAAGATACCTATATGTATTTGAAAAATTGAAATATGCAGGTAAAATATGAATTACTTATCTTCATTGGTTAACATGTAATCAACAGTTTAATCAACTACCAAACAATGAAAGCATACACTATTTTGTTTCAAAAACTACCATTTAATGCATTCCATGAGTTAGTGGGTTTTTTCGGATAACTCTTCTGGAATTTTTGCAGGCTTTTTAACTTTCATTCAATCTATAGGAAAAGTGTTTCATTTAATTAATAGCTATAGCAACAATAATTTCTTCACCTATAATTATCGCAATATGATCTTTATTTCCATGACAATAACTCCTTCCAGCAGGCAGCGGTAGTCTACATCCATTATATCCTGACGCAGCTTAACTTGTAATTCTATTTAATGCACCACAATAATAAATGCAACAGTTCACAAATTCTTTCCTGCCACAATTGCTCATCATAATGTGAAGGCAATCTGAGGACATATGTACATACATGTACCTTTTGATGTCATCTTTACTTGTAATACAATCTTGTCATTTTAAATAGGACAAACCGTCACCAAATTTGTAGCCACCAATAACATGGGCAACCTGAGTATCAGCAAGCATTAGCAAAACTGAACAATAAAATGTACATCTTTATCTCATCTACTTATAACTGTTACACCTGTCTAGTTATTATCAGAAAAAATACTAAACTACAATGAATGGACCATCCTTGTGAATGCTTTTTGATGACAAATATGTGATTACCTGAATGAATGGCATTGTTTGCTAGTCAATTGCAGTTAATGTTGCCAAGGAATACTAAAGCATTCCTACATGTACTTGTACGTAATAAAAATGCAAAATGTCACTAAAGTAAACATGTCATAGATATACAGTATATCAATTCATCTGCCTAAAGCTATTAAAAACTTAACTAAAATTTGTGAATTTCAGTTTGACAAACATGCACAGTATAGAGGTAATTTTCAAGGGTCAGCTATACAGCTTTACATAATACATATACATAGGTATTATATGCATATGAAAGCATGTATATCTACCTGCACTTCAACATACACCATGTACCGGCAATTTGGCATAACACATGCCATGTGGTCCCTTCAAGTTCACTTATACATGTAGAGGTGAGGAATAATATACTTATACCACTGTAGCTTCTCAGTTGCCACAGTTACTGTGGTTTCCATAGCTACCAGAATCATTATTTTAAAAATGGAAAAACTCTCCACAGCTACAGTGCTACATAATAGGCATAAATAAGTGCCGGGTAGGTAGTTCATCTATGATATAGGCTATTGCTTATACATCTAGCCAGTGGCGGTGGAAGGAAGCTAAGAAAAGGGGGGCTAAGGGCGCACAAAGCGCGCCGCGATTTTGACTACGCCCACTTTTGGAGTCGCACAATGGGCGTTTCCTTCAATATTTCATCTCGAAAATGGTGGTCACGGTCTTGTGATCAACTTAACACCAGAAGCAGCAGCCTAGAAGCAGAACTAAACTTGTAGTTACTAGCTAAAAGGCTGTTTTTACATTCAAAGGCTCAGTTACTCCAGTTAGCATTGCTAATAAGTATGATTATAGTTGTCCTTTACTAATCATTTGGGGGGCTAAGCCCCCCTTTTCTGAAAGCTAGGGGGGCTCTAGCCCCCTAGCCCCCCTGGTTCCACCGCCTATGCATCTAGCTTTAACATTCAACCCTGTGCCTAGTTAATTTATTAATAGCAAAATTACCAAATTAATACTCACATCACGGGACATCCTGCACCTGCGAAAGCAAGAAACTATCAAACTAATACCAAACTACGGCTGTAGGTCTTTGCTTCTTCATCTTTATTTTTAAATATTTTCATTATTTTGAAATACTGTACACGCCTATTCCTTTATTTAGAAAAAATGGCGACACTGGTGGATAAGACAGAGTAGACCTCGGAGTAGACAGAAAAGCTTACAAAAGGGAGAATTCAGGTAGTGAATAATTTTTTTACGAATTTATTATGAAAGCAGCCTAAAAAGTATACCATTAGTCAGTACTGCATGGGTGCCCATATATACAATGCATGTTTTTATACATGTACATACCTATGGTATGTTTAACCATACATACCTATGGCCATACCATATTTATATATCCCTATGGCCAGCCTTTATTAGTTTTTAACACTACAGATTAAAGTATATATAGTTATTTGTTATGTTGAACTTTTAAATATCTATTCACATTTCTACTGTAGAGATGCACCTTTGATATAACCATATCTACTCTTGCTGGCGGATATTGATCCAATATTCTCCTTTGTACCTTTTCAGCACAGATTTACACATGTACAATGCATACAATGTGGTTTATACACTTGCTGCACATTTAGTATCTTGACTGACCTCAAATTATAGAATCATTTTTGACATTTTTTCTAGCACATAAATGTCATGCATATGACCATGTATTGCTATTTTGGCAAGTCATGCAAAGAAACCAATATAACTGATGCTATAGAAACAGGCTGATATTTGTCATAAGTAGGATTCACCCCGCTTCAAAATGGCTGCCACAACTTTTGCAGCCTTGCTTTTCTCATAAAGTTGCTCCAAATGCCATGTACTGTATTGTAGTGCTTGTCAGCTCATGAAGCTCATGCTGTTTAGCTCGCTCACATGTAGCATGCTTTGTGGGAAAATCTAGATGATACACATGTACATGTACCAATATTGTGTAACTTTTATTCTGCTCTACTTGCAAATTGTATTGTTTGATTGATACATGTATATACCTGTACAATGTCATGTATACATACAAAGTTTGATCATATTTTAATAAATTTGGAATGTTGTAAAGTCACCTGTAACTGTGGTTATAATTTTTTGTCATAATGGCGTTAATTTTTATTACATGAACATTCTGTGATACAGTGTACACCTAATGCATGTTCTCATTTTGCTACAAGATTCTGATCTAAATTCTGTTTTAGAAATTTTTATAGCTGCTTAACAGAGAGAATATATTCGTCTCATCTTTCATCAAAATGTCAAGTTAGCACTTTTTGCTTTGTGTGACAATTATACATGTACAGTGTACATATACACGTACTATTAATTAGTGTGTCAAAATTTTATCCTGATCTACATGTAAATGTACTTGCAAATTGTATTGCTTGGTAGACACGGCATAAGTGCATTCATGTTGAGTCTGCTCAAATGTTACTTTTACATGTAGAAACATGTACTCTATATAACTTTTGTTGAAAAGATTCAATGATTTTTGTGTCATGGTGTTATTACAATTTGTAGTTGATGCGGATTCCTCCTACACATTTATTTATATATACATTATCCTTACTGAGGGCTTTAAATCTCATGAACACCTACCTTGCAGTGCTAACACAAATCCACAATAGTGCAGC